TTGCTCTAACTGAACATCCTTAAATTGGAGAGGAATAAACTCCTCAAGATACCCACCAAGATGATCTGCTAACGAGGACTTATCGATATTTTCATGGTGATACGACTTGCAAACGAAGTAAATAATCGTCTCCATAATGAGTTGAAAGAGTATACAAATCGATAGCAAAACAAGGCAAATAATACCATACACAATCCTTTTTCCAATCCCATCTCCATGTCCGAGAACCACGAAAATTTTGAACATATGTTGAATACCAAAGAAAGACAAACCCAACACAAAGAAAACCGCACTGGAAATTTCCATCTTGCCCTTGATCAAACCCCGGCTTTTCATCATTGCGCTAAGCCCATAACTATCTTCCAACACGGAAACCACACTTGCCAAATGCCATATCATCGTAATATAGAGAAGCCCCATGAAGTATACGATAAATAATACTATTAGAAAAGCCATACGCCCAATCCCTATATCCCCGTTGTCTAATAGTACAAAGATTACTGTTAATAGAAATAGAAAATTGTACGCAAAAATGAAGACGAAATGCCAAGTGAAAGTAATCATAAGCCTCTTCCAAACCTTTGGGACCAAGGATAAGACTTTGTTTAAGGTTGTCTCTTTTGCGATGTAAATGCACGCGATCGTGTGAACGACTACAGATGTTGTGAGAAGGGATACAATTGCAAAGAATACTAAGTACCCGATCTTGAAGCGGAAGAAGGTCACCCATTCGGAGTTTGAGCTAAACATGTTGTCCATTTCATTAAAGGATTTTGAGCCCTTTAAAACATTGAGGAGCATAAATTCATTGTGAATGATTGTTGTGAAGAGTGTTTTGGTGATTTGGATGTGGGCCAGGTATATGAAGGAGAGAGGGAAGATCAAGAAAATTGTAATTTGAGTGAAGATTTTTCTCCATGATGAAATTATAGTGCATGATTCTTTTAGTATGCCAAAAAAACCTAGGAATTGGATTTCCTCTTGTTCTTTATCCATATAGCCTTTTTTTTTTTTGGTATGCTATGAAATATTAGGATGGATTAAAGGAATGTGTTTATAGAGGTTGAAGGGGGGATTGAAGAATATGTATAAATATATAACTTGAAAGTTTTGAGGGTAGACTTTCACTATTTCGAATTTGAGTTTGACTTTTTGGTGTTTAAGGAAATTGTCAATTTTCCGAACTTTAATTTATGTCAAGTGGGACCATAATAGGAAAAAACGAAAAAAAGAAAAAAGTGTGATACATGTAGGGGCAAAAATCGGATGGAATGGATCAAAAATGGTTTTTTCGAAAAATTCCCAATATTTTTCGGATGTAAAGGTTCCAATTTTGGTTCCAGAACGTTCGGAACGCAAAAAAATAATTCCGATTTAGAAACGCATTAGAATCAGCGGAAATTCGAAAATTTCGAAATATCATTAGCTTATAATCCCCTTTTCAAAATCCGGATATAGTGCGAATTTTCATTATATTTGTCAATCTTTTTCGACATTTTGCAGGAAAATGTAAGGAAAAAAAAAAATGGCCAAAACGCAATAAATAAATTGAACAACAAATTGAACGAGAGATTTTCTAATAAAGAAAAAGACAACAAATACTTTATGCTACCAATTAATATTTTATAACGTCTTAATTGACTTGAACCTTTGGTATTTATATTTTTCATATAAAATATAACATAAGTTGTATTATGGAATCACAAAATAGTATTCTATATTTTAAAAAATAATCAAAATATTGGGACTAAAATCGGATCCGAAATAAGAATTTTTAGTTATTTTATATACAATTCTGCTTATATGTTCCAAAAAAAATCGGAAAAAATGAAAATCGAAACTTCAAAAATCGAAATGAAAAATGACTTTCCAAATTCAGATATTTTCTAATAGGAATCGACGGAATTCGCAAGGAATAAACAAATGAGACACACATAAGATATATATATATATATATATATATATATATATATATATATATATATATATATATGTGTGTGTGTGTGTGTGTGTGGGTGGGTGGTGCTAAAACCCACTTAAAAGAGAGAGAAAAAACACAAACCAAAGGACGGATATTTTTGCTTAGCACGGTGCTCTCTTGAATTATTTGCATTGCCAATATTATAATTATTAAATTAAGTTTTATAAATTTAAAATTTTAAACTTTAGAACTAATATTTACAAATTATTACAACATTGTTAATTGCAGCAACAAACTTTCATTAGAAGAATTTGGATATGATCTTTTTTTGTTTTTCTGGGTCAAGTTAATAGTTCATTTGACCTTATCGTGGCTATGAAATTATATAGTAATCGACTCAATGTAATTAGGCAATAAAAAATAGAAGTATATGTTACATCTAATTAGAAAGTTCTTGAATAGTTCCTTCTAAAGGCATTTTTCACCCATTGTGGCCAAAGTCAATTTTGATTATATAAATACTTGCACCAATTCTAATCAAACGAGAAATGGTTACAGCAACTCCAATGCAATATCAGAATGAAATATCAGAATAAAATACTCATTTGATATTTGAGATTATATTTTGATACTTTTGAAAAATTCAGATGCTGAATTCAACGCATAGGTATCAAACAAAGTTATTATTCGTTTTTTGTTGGAATGTGTCAATATGTTGAGATTTTTGTTTTCGTTTTCATGTTGAAATTACAGGAGCTAATTTTAAAGAATATTTGATTTCTCTTTCTCTTTATCTTTTTATTTATTTATTTATTTATTTATTATTTATTTTTTCTTTTTTTGTTTTTGTATTTTTGCATTTTTGCACCTATATAAGATAAAGTATGAAGAAAAGTATATATCCCTTTGATGCCTTTATTGGAGAAGGATTTTGGAGCTTTGGGGCATCAAAATGATAGTTTTATCATTTGATACTCTATTTGATTCTTCCATTAGAGTTGCAATTATAAATAGTGGAGGATACCCCATCTGTTGCATAATATATATTACAAGAAACAATATTTTGAGTGGCAACACTAACTTTTTAATAATTTGATAAAGAATATTGTCACTATGGTTGTAACTAATAGTGTATCCTTAATGTTGTATAGTGACTTTAAAAATGGATTGTCACATCTATTAGTGACGATAAAAAATAATTAAGTGACAACAAAAGGAGTTATTAGTGACAGCATGAAAATAGGGGACAGTTAAAACTAATATCAAATTTGTCTCACTTCAATACCACCAAATAAAAATTAGATAATAAATAGGTAATGACATATATACCCTTAATGAAAATCAATATCACAAAAATATTAAAAATCTCATTTTTATTTCTTTAATACGAAACACACAGAACCCCTCAAACCCCTCTCCTTTACAAACCCTCCAATCTCCTCATTCTTCTCCCTCACAACAAACCTTCCGAAAACTCAAAACTAAAGAAATCAAAACTTCACACAACTTGCAAAATGGAGTCAAATGACTTCAAAATGGTAGTTTACGGCCAAGGAAAACCAATTAATGTATGTATCCATGTTTTTTTTGAGCTTCAAAGTTAATTTTGAAGTCTTTTATTTGGAACACCCGCCTACAGTTTTCGATACATATAGGTCGAATTTCGATATGTATGTGTCGAATTTTTTTTAATAAAATATTCGACAAGTTGGTGTCACAATTGACCAAAAATTCGACATGTATGTGTCGAGACCTGTAGGTAGATTTAAAAAAAAAATCAACTTTGGAGCTCAAAAAAACCATGAATACATACTTTAATGGGTTCTCCTTCCATATAAACTACATTTTTATTGTCTTGTGACTCCATTTTATAAATTTTGAGAGGTTTCGAATTTTGAGATTTTTTGAAGTGTTTGTAAGAAGATGAAGAATAAGGGAGGGTTTGGTTTTGGGGGAGAAGAAGAGAGTTTATTAATTTTTGGTATTGAAATGAGGAAAAAAAATTGTATGAATTGTATTTTGTTCGATGAGGGATATTTTAGTACTTTGCTATCAGAGGAAAAATTGTAAAAAGTTCCATAAAATACGATATTAAACTTGGTGGTATTGAAGTAAGAAAAAATTGGTATTAGTTTGAGCCGCCCCGTTAAAAATATTGTCACTTTATACATGCATTTAGTGACAACTTTTGATGATGTTACAATTGTGGTATCACTAATTCCATTTTTTTTCTTGTAGTGATAAGTCACAAGAAATTTTGTTGTTTCATATTATTTGTCACTTTAGAATTTCAATACTGCATTAGTTACATATGTATTCAATTTACCCTTATTAAATCTCCAATTACACTCTCCGCATTAATTAGTAAAAATTGTATCTTTTACTAATGTATCTATTTTTATAAAATCAAAACACATCTATTGAAATTTTTAAAACTTGTAAAGATGTGAAAATGAAAGATAGTTTTATAAATGGAAGGAGTACTATACTGTCCTTTTACAAATGTGAACATCAACAATGTATTTAGGGCTCGTTTGGTTACTGCTATAAGGTGCTACTGACTAAATAGTAGAGGCTAATACCATGTTCGGTTGGTAAGATTCACACTTTTTCAAACCCGCTACAAAAATCAAAGTCCGCTATTAAATGCTACTATTTCATTAATTAAGTAGCACCCCTCCCCCTGAGATTAATTTAATAGGGGGCGACTAAAAATGAAAAATACAATTTTATCCTTCAAATTATATTTTATTATTGTAGACTAAATGGTTTTATAGACAATTCATATATAATAACTGATTTTAACAAATTTAATAGAAAATTTAATCTAAGAAACCAAACATGCTACTAACTAAATAATTAATTAGTAAGTAGGGAGTTAATACAATCTCATGTAATCCAATCTAATCATATATTGGTGATATTTTCTGAATATAATTGTAACCGTTCTTAAGGTAATAATTCAATTATTTTCAATTGGTATACAGTGGTACATGCTAATTCGTAATTTTTTCCACCTCTAAAATGAAATATGCACGTATACCTTCTCAAAACACACCTTTTCCCTTTGAATAAACATTTAGTACGTGTTTGTATATTTGGGTGGATATCGATGTCCAATTTTGTAAGTATATGAAGAGAAAGAGAATGAATGCAACTCCAAGCAACTTCTTCTCCAACCTTCGATTGGTAATATTACTATTTTGGCGTGCAATATTACTATTTTAGACAATAGTTTTGTTGTTAACACGGTAATTTAGAGAGAAAATAAAAGTTTCAAAACAAAAATCAACGCCATAGATCGATGGTTGACCAGCCTGAAAAAAATTTCATAAAAAAAGTATTTTCAAAGAAGAAAAGGTCAACGACAGAGACCGGGCAGAAAAAGAAAAGTTTTTAGAAAAAAAAAGAAAAATAGTCAACGCCGGAATCTGGCCAGAAAAAAAAAAAGATTCAGAAAAAAAAAATTAATGAATTATGAAAATGGGGGTTAATGTGATATATTTGTTCAAATTCAGGATCAATGTGCAATATATATGAAGTTAGAGTGAATGGATGGAATTTGACGAAAATTATATTATGAGGGGTATTTTGGGAAATGGGGATGAGTGTATTTGTTATTGTTAATTGTCAGGACCTAGGTGCGTTTGAGTCCATTGTCATGGGCTTATTTGTCATTTACCCTATAATTTAACCAAAACTTTATAGTGGCAACCGGACAATAATTTATTATAGGGTTAATCTAAAAAGGCCCATGACAAGGGCACTTAATTAAAAAATGGACATCCAACTTTTTTGTCTTTCAAATATTTCGAGTTCATTCAAACTTATTTGCAAA